CTTGTACGCGAATAGCTCTACGGTCTGTTAGAGGAGTGTCAAGAATATGAACAGAAACATAGTTTCTTAAGCTCTCTGAAACCAGCCCATAGTCAATATGTGAACGTCTAGTACATGTTTTGTTACACCGGGTATAGGATCTCTCAAGAGGAAACTTCTCTCTCCATATATCCACTCGATCAAACTTCTGCATAAATAACTTTAGATTGGCATTCAGAGAAGTAGACTGCCGCAGAGGCCACCTATCAAGATAATTATCTAAAGCAATATTAAAATCTCCACCTATTAAGAGTAAGGAGTTGGGAAATCTGGATAACCAATATAAAATTCGAGTTTCTACAGCCCCAAGAAGGACATAATTTTCTTATTTTGAGTTGTAACCATAAATATTGACAGTAACCAAAATCGTTTGACTAAATTAAATTATACGACAAAGATAATGACCACTTGAGTCACGATCTGAATGCAAAATGGCACCGGCAAAACAATGTTTTAATGTAGCAACACCTGCTGATCGTTCTGAACAATGTGAGAGCCAAATATAATTACCCCATTGCGACCTCCAAAAGTTAGCATCATTTACAGTAGAATGAGATTCTTGAAAAAAACTAAAATCAGTTTTCAGTTGCTTAGCAAAAAGAAACAAGGCTTTACGTTTCACAGTGTGTATTAACCCCCTAGCATTAAGAGAAACTATGACAAAGACAAGGTGAACGAGAAAATAGAGAAGCGAAGAAAATAGGGAATGGTTGTCAAGTGCTCACAGGAGGCAACTGGGTACAGAGCAGAAACACCAAGAGCCGCAGCATATGCATAGACCTTACTGAGTGAAGAAATACAAATATACCAATAATTAGTTGTCAATCAGCTCAATAAAAAATTAAATAGCTGTCAGTCATCAACAAAAATACTCCTGAAGTGGCCTTTTCCTATAAAAGGAAATAAAAACAATTTCTATCAGAAACAGAATACAAAAAATAACATACCTTCATTGACCACAAAAAAGTTCAATGCTCATACATGTGCATAGAAATAGGACGAACGCACTGCTCTCGACAAGGAAGAGATATGTCAGTTCCATTGATGAAGGCACGCGCCCAGACATAATACGCGCTGCCTCAATCACTGGCCTCAGCTTCTCCCTCCTCTGTCTGTCAGCCCTGGAGAAATCCTCAGCAAACTTCAAAACGTTTGGTTTGCAGGTAGGTGGATTTCTTCGCTGCTTTCCACACCGCATCTCTGTAGACCCACTGCGTAAACTGCATGATGTTGCTACTTGGCTTGGAGTAGATAACTATAGCTACATTGTAGGAGTTTCACAAATTCACTATTCATTCCAAGTTTTGATACGGAGAAAAGCGTGTGCGCACAGCGCCAGCTTGGCGAGACCCTCATTTGGCAATATTTTTCATAGCCACAAAACTTCCAAAACCAAACAAAGTAGACGTGGTCCATCTGGTGGCAGTACTACCATATACCATTCATTGGGGTTGTAAAACCTCACAGATAAAAGCATTGTGCTGACAATATCGATGTTGGTTTTATTTATAAATCAATGTTATAGCTGGCTCACTAATAGGCCAAAAATAGCCTATATTTTTAAACAAGATGAATTGTGTTGTTTTATTTTTACTGCAGACCTGAAGACTACGTTTGCTCCCCAAGCCAGTCAGCTCAGTGGGCTAAAATAGAATGCCTAGAAGACCCGGTTTAAAAAAAACAGTGGTTCACACCTGATGTCCTTTGATTACAAGTGTGTGAACCACTGTTTTTTTTAAACCGGGTCTTCTAGGCATTCTATTTCTAACAATTGCGGATCTCAAACCAATGTCACTCAGCCCATAGGCTACTAACCACAGCTCCATAGAATTATGAATCAGAATACTAATATAATAGGATCTCTATGGGTCGTTACACTATGTTCGGAGAGTGAATTCCCACACTTCACTAAGTCTCTTATGTGTACAGTACACGGCACACCTCTCTGATGGCTTCACGGGCACCATCTCACTTCTGACACCATCGTAGAGAATAGTGCAACACCCCTTGTGGATCTCGAACCTGGGGCTCTATTGCTAAACACTGCTCCAATTGGGTTAACTTACTTTGGGGTGATTGTATCGAGCCTAAGCAAGGGTCATCATTACACTATTACTGTACAAATTAACTTACTTGGTGAATGGCTATTTGGACCCCAGGGAGAGTGGCTGCTGCCTTGGCAATTTGGGATCCTAATAAAATACTGTAATGTATTTTACAATACACGTGACTCCTTAATTAACAGCTCTGAAAGAAGTAGACAAGTGACCAAATCAGGTTCCATCTTTGCTTTATGTTTTCAGATCAGCGCATATGAAAGCGAGACGAGTAGAAGAGAAGGTGGGGGGTGTGGGGAACTACCAGGCAGTTGGAAGGAGGCAGTAGTGGTACCAATCCGGAAGCCCGGTAAGGATACAACGAAGCCAACAAGCTATCGGCCAATAGCTTTAACATCACATGTATGTAAGATTATGGAACGTATGATCACGGAGAGGCTAACTTACTTCCTGAAGAGCAGAGGGCTAGTAACGCCACATCAGAGTGGGTTCAGGAAAGGTAGGGGAACTATGGATCCAGTGCTCTGCTTAGAAGCAGAGGTTAGGAAGGCTCAGGTGAACAAGGAGACTGTTGTAGCTGTCTTTTTTGATGTGGAGAAGGCGTATGATATGATGTGGAAGGAGGGGTTGTTAATCAAGCTAGATATTATGGGGGTAGGAGGAGGAATATACAACTGGATTATGGATTTCCTGTTTGGAAGGGCTATCCAGGTGAGGGTGGGGAAGTCTTTATCAGGCAGCTACTTGGTGGATAATGGTACACCGCAGGGGAACGTGATTAGTCCTCTGTTGTTCTCAATCATGATCAATGATGTTTACTCTCAGGTACAGCCGGATATAGGGAGGTCGTTATTTGCAGATGATGGTGCCTTATGGAAGAGGGGAAGAAATGTGCCATACATAGTCAGGAAGGTGCAGGAAGCAATTGATGAGCTAGAGCGGTGGGCACTAATGTGGGGATTCAGGTTCTCTGTAGAGAAAACTCAAACAGTGTTCTTTACCAGGAGGAAGGTGGGAGATGAGGTATGCTTGAGGTTATATGGGAGAAACCTGGAGAGGGTGGGGGCCTTCAGGTTCCTTGGGGTATACTTTGATACTAGACTGACCTGGGCAGAACACATTGAGAGAGTGGTGGGAAGGGAAAGGGATCTTACAGGCATGCTGGAAACATGAGCGAAGACAGAACACGAGCTTTGGGTGGATGGGTAATACCCAGGCGAAGGAGATGGGGCTGTATGGAAGGGAGTTTAGTCCAACGGTAGTTATTCCTGTAAATCCACCATGGCTACTCCCGTCTCCAGTAGTTGATCTAGAAGTGTTGGAGAGACTACAGAAAGATAGGGAGGGTGTTGATCCAGCCGATATCTTTAAGAGTCATCTGGAAACTGTGTATCAGGATTTTGTGGCCATTTACACAGATGGTTCAAAAAAATCCAAGGAAAGGACGTACTGGGTCAGCATTTGTAGTGCAGGAATGTGGGGTGGAAGTCAGGAAACGTATTACAGATCATCTGGCTGTATCTACGGCGGCGCTGATGGCCATACTGTTGGCCTTGCAGTGGGTGGAGCTGATGGCCATACTGTTGGCCTTGCAGTGGGTGGAGCTGATGGCCATACTGTTGGCCTTGCAGTGGGTGGAGCTGATGGCCATACAGTTGGCCTTGCAGTGGGTGGAGCTGATGGCCATACTGTTGGCCTTGCAGTGGGTGGAGCTGATGGCCATACTGTTGGCCTTGCAGTGGGTGGAGCTGATGGCCATACTGTTGGCCTTGCAGTGGGTGGAGCTGATGGCCATACTGTTGGCCTTGCAGTGGGTGGAGCTGATGGCCATACTGTTGGCCTTGCAGTGGGTGGAGCTGATGGCCATACTGTTGGCCTTGCAGTGGGTGGAGCTGATGGCCATACTGTTGGCCTTGCAGTGGGTGGAGCTGATGGCCATACTGTTGGCCTTGCAGTGGGTGGAGCTGATGGCCATACTGTTGGCCTTGCAGTGGGTGGAGGAAGTTAAGCCAGACAGAGTAGTTATTTGCTCTGACTCATGCACAGTGTTAATGAGTCTCCAGTCCTTTAGCTCACGTAGCAGACAAGACCTGCTTTATGAGGTGCTACAAACCCATGGCAGGATTAAACAGATGGGGATTCGGATAATATTTACTTGGGTTCCAGCCCATGTGGGGGTGGAGGGGAACAAGGAAGTAGATGAACAGGCTAAACAAGCGCTTAGTAGTGGGGATGTTGATGTTGAAGTGTCAATGAGCAAGGCAGAGGCAAAAAGACTGATATTACAGTGATGGTGCAGAGATGGCAGGAGCAGTGGAATATAAATATTAAGGGAAGGCATTTATTTCAAGTACAGAGGAAAGTCAGGGAGGGGAGGACGGCAGGAAGGAACAGAAGAGAGGCTATATTTACAAGATTAAGGGTGGGACACAGCCAGTTGAATAAGACACTAAGCGTGATAGGAAAGCATCCATCAGGAAATGTGATTATTGTCAGGAAATCAAGACTGTGGAGCGTGTATTGCTACAGTGTGGGCAGTATCAGAGGGAAAGGGAGAGGATGAGATTAAGTATGAGGGAGAAGTGGATACAGGAAATTAGTTTAAAGAGTATATTGAGTAGAACGTCGTTAGATATAGTATCACATATTTTGTTGTCTTTTTTAAGAGAAACTGGGTTGGCAGGTAGGATTTAGTTTATCCCCGTCACTGGCCCACACTCCAGTACGGTAGGTGGCGGTAATGCACCATAACGTTGGATGCCAACCGCCGATAAACCCCACTGAAGAAGAAGAAGAAGAAGAAGAAGAAGAAGAGAAAGAGAAAGAGAAAGAGGGGGCTTGGTCGCTGTCAGATAAGTTCTCGCGAGATTTCCGTATGTGCGTTTTTAATCTTTTGGGGTGTTCTTCTTCCTTCTTGTTTATGAAGCTACCCTAAATTTGGTGCGGCTGCAGTCCTTTTTCGAGGAAGACCGCGGGAATGGGCAGTCGTTTTAGCGTTGAACTTTAGTTCAGAGTATTTATTTATGAATTGATTCAAGAAACTTGGTAGCTAGCTAAAGACTAGGGCCACCTTCTTCGTTAGCTAGCTGGCTACGTTAGCAATAGCGGCCAGTACCGGCAGTATCTAGTACACACAGGTGAGTGGCCTCTCCCACTAGGCACATTAGCTAGTAGCTAGCTAGCAACATCTGGGTGTATCCTAGTTTTCAGTAGAGTACCCTTTTTTATTTCCTGTACGAATTGTATGTCTTCATCACTTCAAACCGACCACATCTCAATATTTCCCTTGTTGGAGAGGCACTGGCGTTGTATGCATCTAAACTAGCTAGGTAGCAAGCAAGTTCACGTTAGCTAGCTAAATGGCGTCAGATAGTGACACAGAGGAATTCTACGATGCTGCTGAAGACGTCAGTTTTACTCCATCTCCTAAAGTGTAAGTAACCTTTCTTACAGCTATTGCTAAAATAAAGCGATATCATGTGTATATACTGTGCTATTGGTGTTGAAAAACGTTCTCAGCTATGATGATGCTGGTCATTGAAATGAGTTCAACCAGATGTTCGCAAGTAAGAATTATTTTGCTCATACATTCAGTGTCTCTTCTCTAATAAAGGAACGAAAACATTAGCTATAATTATTTGCAATAATAATCATAACAACAACAACGATGCCACCTGTCTGTGGATGATTTTGACTTGCCTTATTCTACTCCATCTTTTTAATGAGGCAAAAGGTTGTGGGGACATCAATTGCAAAGGATAATTTTGTTTTCGCCATGACCATATAAGGGGTCAAGTGTAAGGGAGCGAGAGAAGTGTGATTGACATGTCTCTTTGAGACACTCTCACACACACACACTTTCCTTTATATAATTATAGTAGAGTGATTGGAGATAACATAGCTACAGTGATTTTGGCTTCAACTGTTGCTTGTTGAAAGGTTTATTTGAACTAATTTGCTCAAACTTAAACTAACAGGAGAACTACATATCCTACATGTTAAGAATAAATTGTCTTTACGGTTGTCCTGTTTTTTTGTTTATTGTAATAATGTTAAAACAAGCATGATTTCTTTCAAATCTCTCATCTGTTTTAGGTGTTAAGACCATATGTGTCTGAAATGTAGCCTAAGCCCTAGTAAAGGTCATTTGATGAACCATATCAGGACTAGTCTTGTGACTAACACTTACACTTGTCTTTTTATTACTTAGGACACCTGCAAAGTTTGTCCTTCCCACACCTCAGGTATCTATTCTTCTTACTAGCATTTGACAGTAAAAAACAATAATAATCTAAGAACCATCTCTTTTAAAAAAGCGTCTGCTAAATGGCATATTTTAAAGACTAGAGAGGGAAGTTTAACTTATGAGATATCAAAGACTGTAAGCCAGAGTGTTGGTTTTAGTTTAATCATTACTTAAAGGGCATAGCTGCTGGAGACTCTGGGTAACTACTTTCACATGAGCTAGAGGAGCGCCTTTAAGAGCTCTATTGGGGTTAAAGTTAAACCCAAAACACATCTTTACCCGGGGTTGTTTGCAATAAGCAGTTTGCTACTGCATGTCCTGAGGTGCCGGTGTAATGTTTGCAGTGTTTTACAGACTCTATTCAGGACATTGTCATCCCATTTACTAGTAAAATATAAAAAATCATAAGCACATCCCAGAATTTTTAAGTGTGTAGATGCACTGTAGGAGGTGCTAGTTTATAAAAGTACAGTGTGTCTCCCTGTCACTGTCCTTGTACATTTTGTTTTGTGTTCCTGCAGGGGGTGGTAGAGAGCCCAACAGTGGATGTGGCTGTTGGGCTGGCCCACCCTGAGGCACGCCAAGATGACTCCATCCAGGTACTCCCCCTCCTTATCTTCAAAGCTAGGCTAATGCTCATTAATCCCTACTCAGCTAGGGCATTGTGAATATGACATTATGAAAAAAGATAAGTTGGATTTTATTCCCTAGGATTTTTAATAGTTACTGATCCCCTGAGTATGTGTTGTTCATGTCTGTAAATGTGTTTTGATGGTTGCTGTGTCTTGGGCTCTATGTAAATGCTGCTAGTCTGTCACCCATGGTGTCAACAGGTGCTACTTTGTTTCTGCAGTAAATGTTTGGATGTGTGGCACGCCACTAAGTGGTGTAGGTCATCAACACATACACACAGTCCCTCAATGTGTATCTGTAATCCTTCTCCATGTCCCTCTCTCACCTTAAGTGTGGGGAAAGACCCCAACACTTTTATCAGAGAGAATACACTCATAGGACCACACAATCCTCATTAGAGAAACATCCTGTTATGAGTATATTATCCTTTTTGATGATTATATGTTTTCATCTGTGATGTCTTATCCCTCCTAGATCATCGACAGCATCATTGAGGAGAGCCAGAAGGGAAGTGCGGTGGAGGAGGCTCAGCTGATGGGGGAGAGGAATGTTGATACAAGGGCAGAGTCAGAGGTGAAGAACGAGACTGTGGCCCCTGTAGAACCAGAGCGTCCCGCTATGGAACCTCAGCCTGTGGTTGAGAGATCAGAGCAGCCACAGGAACAGCAGGGAGTGTGTTCCACGGCTCTCCCAGACATCCCCAGCCTGTTGGCTGGGTCACACGAGCACGTCCAGCCCCCAGACATCACCAGCGCCCTAGGGCAGGGGCAGAGTCAACCAGACCTCCCGCAGGACCTCCCTGACCTTCCCCGGGTGTCTGCAGAGGACATGGACAGGGAGCAGAGACCAGCAGACATCCTAGACCAGGTTCCCCTTACAGACAAGCCGGCTGACTCCTCCGACCCAGGGCCTACTAAACCCCCACGGCAGTTCACTGTAGAGCCTGACATTGTGGCCAGCACCAAGAAGCCTCCACCCTCACGCCCACCCCCTCCCAGCGGAGCTCCTCCTCCACGGCCGCCACCCCCATCCCGGCCTGCTTTACCCCTCAGCAAGAAGTCCCAGGAGTGTATGAGGCCCACAGGACTGGAAGGTAAATAACACTTTGCTTGTTTACCCACACACTCAAGGTCAAGATAAAATGCTGATAGTCATGTCAATTAAATATGTTCCTGCAGGGATTTAATACATTGAGCTGAACACATTGACCTCTCATAACTGTTCTCATAGCTGTTCACTTCTACCCCCACACCTACTCATGATAATTTAGTTGTGTAACCATGGAGACAAGGTGACTGTGTTGACCTTTAACCCTCTGTCTCTGCTGTGTGATTGGCCAGTGTGTGCAACGGAGCTGGAGGAGCCATGTGGCCTGGTGTCTCCCAGCAGCACAGTAAGGAGCATCACCAAGGATCTGCAGCACTCTCTGGACCTGGCCAGCGCCACCAGTGGGGACAAGGTGGTCACAGCACAGGTCAGTGGGTATTTGTTTGCCATGCTTTCCATTGGCGCAGTGCACAGGTCCACTTATTGCTGCCCAGGAAGCCAATGTATATATTCTTCTGCACTTGGTGAAAACTTTGTCCTGACGAAGACCCAGTTTGGGGTTCAAATGTTGTCCTCTTCTGATTAAACACTTTGGCCGCAGCATACCAGTGTGTGGATTTACTTTTTGTTCTTTGTTCTCCTCTTTCAACAGGACTTTGACCCTTGCAATTCGGAATACCCCTTTGTCTTAGAATTAACACCAGTGTAGTAAGTGTGTGTGTGTGTGTATATTGGTGTGTTACCACAGGAGAATGAGGATGAGCAGGCATCCAGTCCCATTGGTGACACTTTAGGTCCTCAGCGTCCACGATCCAACTCTGGCAGAGAGCTGACTGATGAGGTACGTTTCCTTGTCTTGCTCTTTCATTCATCCAGCCTTGAGCCCCTTTGTACAGGTTTTGTACTCTCTACACATACCTTTTGAGTGTTTGTTTCTAATTCATTGAGTGGCTGGGCTATCTCTGTAATAGGAGATCCTGGCGAGTGTGATGATCAAGAATCTGGACACTGGTGAGGAGATCCCTCTGATCCAGGCAGAGGAGAAGCTTCCCACAGGGATCAACCCACTCACATTACACATCATGAGGAGGACCAAGGAGTACATCACGTAAGAACTGCTCTCCCATCACTCAGACTAGTACTCTAATATATCAGGGGCTCACACCAATCCTTGGGCTATGGTTGAAAAACGTACAGCTATATATTCACTCCCCTGTGCTAACAGATTGCTTTGGTAAGTATATTGGGTAGCACTCGCATACATTGAAAAAAAATCCTAATACAAATCTTGAGGAAGATGTCTGTCTTTTTTTTTTCCTGTCAGGAATGATGCAGCACAGTCAGATGATGATGACAAGGCCCAGGCTCCCTTGAGCGACACAGATGGAGGGAAGCTGAAACAGAAAACGTAAGAAATGGCATGGTGCCCTGCCTCATGCTGTGGTTACAGTGTTTCCTCTCTGCTCTGACAGTCTGGGACGGTCTCATGGTGTTTTATGTGTCCTCTGTCTTCTATCCCAGCACTCGGCTGAAGAAGTTCCTGGGCAAGTCTGTGAAGAGGGCCAAGCATCTGGCTGAAGAGTATGGTGAGAAGGCCGTCAACAAGGTGAAGAGTGTCCGTGATGAAGGTATGCCAACCCACACAGCCCTCCCCAATCCCATATCCACACATCTTACTGCTGCTGTTTAGTCACTCTGCTGGGTGCTGTCTCACTGTGTGGTTGTGTCTCAGTGTTTCACAACGACCAGGATGACCCGTCGTCCAGTGATGATGAGGGGATGCCCTACACCCGGCCTGTCAAGTTCAAGGCAGCCCACAGCTTCAAGGGCCCTTTCGACTTTGATCAGATCAAGGTGGTCCAGGACCTGAGTGGAGAGCACATGGTAAGATTGTGTGTGTCTTTTGAGTGTATGTTAATCTATCAGTGCTTTCTTTCAATTGAACAACAGACCACTTCCATGACTGAAGCATACAGTATGTAACCGTGAATGCAGATGTAAACGTGAATATATATTCATGCATATTTGCTCAACCCTTGTTCTGTTGTCTGGTCCTCAGGGTGCAGTGTGGACCATGAAGTTCTCTCACTGTGGGAGGTTGTTGGCGACAGCAGGCCAGGACAACGTGGTGCGAATCTGGGTTCTGAAAAATGCCTTTGACTACTTCAACAACATGAGGATAAAGTACAACACTGAAGGTGGGTAGATCATGACCCCTAAAGAAGGGCTGAGCTCTAATGTTGTCTCTGAACAAAATAGTTTGTCTGCCACACCTTTGGTAAATGTAATGGTTGTTTGATGTGTTTCTCATGGTTCTTCCTTATGTTCTCTCTCAACCAGGTCGTGTGTCGCCCTCTCCCTCTCAGGAAAGCCTGTGTTCCTCCAAATCAGACACGGACGGTGGGGTGAGTAAGGTTAGGACCCATCAGTGACATAACCAGTCATGGTTAGAGTTGAGGGTCAGCTGTAAAACATGAAGAAAGTAACGTTATGGTCAGGGTTGCTTAGGGTAACTATACCAGTGTTACTGTTGAGACCTCAGCCCCAGCCTGACAGACAAGAGTTCCTCTTTTGTTCCCAGATGAGCAGTGTTCCTGAAGACCCCGATTCAGAGGACAAGAATCTCCCCTTCCGCCAAGTCCCCTTCTGCAAGTACAAGGGTCATACGGCTGACCTGCTGGACTTGTCCTGGTCAAAGGTGAGACTCCACAGGCCTTTCCTCTTCCCCCTTTTCAAACAACACTCCCAAATGCCGGTACACTGTGTCCTAGTATTCCCTGTGTTCTTTGATTCCAGAACTACTTCCTGCTTTCCTCGTCAATGGATAAGACGGTCAGACTGTGGCACATATCTAGGAGAGAGTGTCTATGCTGCTTTCAGCATATTGACTTTGTCACAGCCATCGCATTCCATCCTAGAGTAAGTGGGCCTCTATGAGCTTGTGTGCCTTTTGTCAGTGCATGTTTAGGTTGAAGTATGGACCTTTTTTAAGTGCAGAGTGAGTTGGCTACGTTTGAGTTATGGCTCTGTTCACCAGACTGACCATCTGTTATTTCTCCTAGGATGACAGGTACTTCCTGAGTGGCTCTCTGGATGGGAAGCTGCGTCTGTGGAACATCCCAGACAAGAAGGTGGCCCTGTGGAACGAGGTGGATGGACAAACGCGCCTCATCACTGCTGCCAACTTCTGCCAGAACGGGAAGTACGCTGTCATCGGCACCTATGATGGCCGCTGCATCTTCTACGACACCGAGGTACAGTGGAGGGAGACATACTGATCCTCAAGTTTGAAGGGCTAGTGAAGAATCATTATTTCAGCCTATGTTTGATTCTTCTTTGAGTATTACAATGGCAGAACATAATTATGAAAATGAGGAACATTATAGAGGGTTCACCGTTTTTTGAATGTCGGTTCTTATTTCAGCGCCTTAAATACCACACCCAAATCCACGTACGGTCGACCAGAGGCAGGAATCGAGTAGGACGGAAAATCACAGGTATCGAGCCTCTGCCTGGAGAGAACAAGGTATAGCCACGCTCCTGATGCCCTTTCTACAGACATGCCTCTCTGGCGATGACATACTAGTGACAGCGAAGTCTTTTTATTATGTTGGTAGATTCTAGTGACCTCCAATGACTCCAGGATCCGCCTGTATGACCTGAGGGACCTGTCTCTGTCCATGAAGTACAAGGGTTACGTCAACAGCAGTAGTCAGATCAAAGCCAGCTTCAGGTGAGAACGGCTCCTTCTCAGTCTGGCATGTTCTTGTATGTTGTCGGTAAGCAAACTGTCACTTTCCTTATTTTCCAGCCATGATTACTCATTCATTGTGAGTGGCTCAGAGGATAAGTACGTGTACATCTGGAGCACCTATCACGACCTGAGCAAGTTCACCTCTGTACGACGAGACCGCAATGACTTCTGGGAGGGAATTAAAGGTACCTAGATACTGTAGTGGTGCTCAGCTCTTTACGGTTGGTGATATGAAACACTGTCAGTTTGATTGTAGTGTCACTCCACTAAGTCCAGTCTCTGTTGTCTTTCAGCCCACAATGCAGTAGTGACATCTGCCATTTTTGCGCCACATCCTAACCTGATCGTCCCCCAGGAGGCGGGGGCAGAGAAAGCAGGGGCTGGGGCCGATGCAGAGTGTAAGAGCTTGGACTCTACTGACTCGGAGACCATTCCCTCAGGTACAGTATGCTGATTTATATACCTGTTTATGTATGCTGAGAGACTATTCAGAGCAGCGACTCATTAAAGCTGGAATCCTTAATGGTCAAACTGCCACGTCTGTTTGGGATATTACAACAAAGAAGTTACTACAAACAACAAACACTCGGACATCATTGCGCGAGTGATAGAACAGAATATGTACTGCAAATGTTTTTCTCACGCCGCCCGACTCTCCTCACCTCCGTTTTGTCCACAAAACAATAACAAAGTGCTGGGGCAGCCGTGGCGGTGTTTCCCACTAATGCGGATTCCATCTTTAAGAGTGATAAATGGATGGTATGATGAGTTGAGTGGATAGAAAAACACTTTGTATAGTTTCAATGCTAAACAGGGTATTTCTCGTCCACAGGGGCTCTGAAGACTGATCATACAGAGGTTCTGCTCTCTGCTGACTTCACCGGCGCCATTAAGGTTTTCATCAATGTAAAAAAGTACTGAGCACTTCAGCCTGAAAGGCTTCAGCCTGAACCCTTACTGATCTGTCCGCCAATGTACAGTCCTACAATGGAAGCAGAGCAAACCGCTGCCCTACCAACGCTTCTAAAACCGGCCAATCGCCTACTGGTGAGTGCTCCGGGAGGGAGGAGTCATCCTCCGGAGAACAGGGACCCTAAAGTAGAGGATGATGGGAAGGTGGAGGAAGTGAACTGTAAATGGAGGAAGCAGCTCACTGATGTCCTGTCACATTTTGTTTTTCTTTTTTAACAAAGAACAAGTGTGCACTGTGTTTTGAAGTAAAGCAGGTTTGTGAGACAGGGTCAGACTGTATAGCAGGACCAGAAACTGGATCTGGTAACTGAGGGATGGATGGTTAAAATACACTGTAATGTAAGCTATTTGTCAGAGTGTAAGGGGTACACTGTCTTACTCTTAACTTTACTGCTTTTCTAGTTCCCCACGATCCTCCCTGCCAGGAATGACTGTCTTAAATTTTACAAAATAAGCACTAACGCCAATCATTTCAGTTGCAAATCTTCATTTGTCTGTCAGTGTGTATTGAAAAATAAAATGGAACCACAGAATATTTTTTTTTTTTTACATTGTTTATGATTCACTTAATAAAGTAATGGTTTTGTCATTTATAATGTGAGCTCATTTTTCCAATCAAGATGAGATTACCTTTATATTGAGGCAACCTTTCAATACGGTTTAGAAACGCTGAATGACTGGACAGGAGACAAATGTGGTCATTCAATAATGGTGCCCTCCACTAATTCATTCCCCAGCCTGGACAATGGACACATTGCCAATAGTGATTTATTGTGACGTCTCAGGGACTAGTCGCAATCTGAATGGGGTTTAAAAACAAATAGCAAAACAAAGAACTGTACAAATTAATGTTCAAACGTCATCTTACAAAAATTTGCCAAATCTTGACATTGGTACGGAGGGGAACAAACAGCTGTCAGTTGGTCTGCAGAGACAGTTCAGAGGCATTGTGGGGAAAGAAGCGCGTAGTGGTGCTCTGTCATGGTAAGCACTGGCGGAGCAGGGCAGTCCATGGGAGCCGCCTTGCCACTTCAGGGGTAGAGGCATGGGGTCCAGGCCTCAGGATCAGTGTTTGCTCTTCTTTGTCTTTTTGTGGGAGCGGTGTGGCGACCGGGAGCTAGACCTCCTCCACGTCTTCCTGGCTGGCGAGGGCGACCGGGACCGCTTGGACTTCTTGGGAGACTTTGACTTTGTTCTGTTGGACAGGTAGGGGATAAGAGTCAGTCAGCACATATACCGTGCCTTCGGAAAGTTCAGACCCCTTGACGTTTTCCACATTTTGTTAGGTTACAGCCTTATTCTAAAATGTATTATTGTTCCCCCCCTCAATCTACACACAATACCCCATAATGACAAAGCAAAAACAGGTTTTTATAAATATTTGCTAATTTATAAAAAATTATATCACATTTACATAAGTATTCAGACGCTTTACTCAGTACTTTGTTGAAGCACCTTTGGCAGCAATTACAGCCTCGGGTCTTCTTGGGTATGATGCTCCAAGCTTGGCAAACCTGTATTTGTGGAGTTTCTCCCATTCTTTTCTGCAGATCCTCTCAAACTGTCAGGTTGCACAGCTATTTTCAGGTCTCTCCAGAGATGTTAGATCGGGTTCAAGTCCGGGCTCTGGCTGGGCCACTCAAGGACATTCAGAGACTTGTCCCGAAGCCACTCCTGCGTTGTCTTGGCTGTGTGCTTAGGGTCGTTGTCCTGTTGGAAGGTGAACCTTTGCCCCAGTCTGAGGTCCTCAGCGCTCTGGAGCAGGTTTTCATCAAGGATCTCTCTGTACTTTGCTCCGTTCATCTTTGCCTCAATCCTGACTAGTCTCCCAGTCCCTGCCGCTGAAAAACACCCCCACAGCATGATTGTGCCACCACAATGCTTCACCGTAGGGATGGTGGCAGGTTTCCTCCAGACGTGATGCTTGGCATTCAGGCCAAGGAGTTCAATCTTAGTTTCATCAGACCAGAGAATCTAGTTTCTCATGGTCTGCGAGTCTTTAGGTGCATTCTGGCAAACTCCAAGCGGGCTGTCATGTGCCTTTTACTGAGGAGTGGCTTCCGTCTGGCCACTACCATAAAGGCCTGATTGGTGGAGTGCTGCAGAGATGGTTGTCCTGGAAGGTTCTCCCATCTCCACAGAGGAACTCTAGAGCACTGTCAGAGTGACCATTGGGTTCTTGGTCACCTCCCTGACCAAGGCCCTTCTCATCCGACTGCTCAGTTTGGCCGGGCGGCCAGCTCTAGGAAGAGTCTTGGTGGTTCCAAACTTCTTCCATGATGGAGGCCACTGTGTTCTTGGGGACCTTCAATGCCTTGACACAATCCTGTCTCAGCGCTCTACGGACAATTCCTTCGACCTCACGGCTTGGTTTTTGCTCTGACATGCACTGTCAACTGTGGGACCTTATATAGACAGGTGTGTGCCTTTCCAAATCATGTCCAATCAATTGAATTTACCAAAGGTGGACTCCAATCAAGTTGTAGAAACATCTCAAGGATGATCAATGGAAACAGGATGCACCTTAGCTCAATTTCGAGTCTCATAGCAAAGGGTCTGAATACTTATGTAAATGTGATTTCATTTTCTATACATTTGCAAACATTTCTAAAAACCTGTTTTCGCTTTGTAATTGTGGGGTATTGTGTGCAGATTGCGGAGGATAAAAAAATAAAATAAGGCTGTAACGTAACAAAATATGCAAAAAGTCTAGGGGTCTGAATACTTTCCGAAGGCACTGAATGCTGAACACACATTAAATAGAAGAAAACAGGCCTTACTTTGAGGGAGAATTTCCTCTGTATTTCTGTGTCCGCTCCTCTGTGTCTCTACTACGGCCCCTGTCTCTGCTCCTGTCCCGATCTTCACTCCTTTTACTCTTCTCCTTGCCCCGTCCTTTACTGCTCTCCTCTGTCTTGTCTCTCCTCTCCTCTGTCTTGTCTCTCCTCTCCTCTGTCTTGTCTCTCCTCTCCTCTTTCTTTGATCTGTCTTTTGACTTTGGCGTGGATCTCTCTTTCTTCTCCTGGTCATCCTTATCAAACTCCTGAGGATCAATTGCAGCCAGGTGAGTTATTTAGTAAAATGTACAACTGCAGCTTTATGGTCCCTTGACCATTTTCTTTACTACTGGGCTTGTATGAAATTGAAGTACACTAAATACCCACCTTTTGTAGCAGCTTGTTCCTGTAGTGCTCTACCTGTTTCTGCATGTTCATTCTTGACTTCCTGGGCCTCTTCCCAGTCTCCAGCTCATCCTGGAACTTCATCACCTTCACCTGCAGCAAAGACAATATTGAGTGAGTACGAGATACTACACGTACATTCGTACACTAAGAACAGTGGGTCCAATTGTTGCATCAATTAATGGAAATCAACTGCCTTCAAGAACAGAATATTAGTCAAGCGTATTTGGGTTTCAGAAAAGCGCTATAGAGAAGACCTACGTATTATTATCAATATTAGTCGGTTGGTATGGTCAGAATGAATTACTACTGCAGTGGGTTGTGTATGGTACTGTGTTGGTGCCACTAGACAGTGTGTGCTTGCCTCCAACTCTCTCAGCCTGCTCCGCTTGCTCTCGGACATCTCAAAACTACTGAGGGAGCTCTTGAAGTCAGCACTGTCGTACTTAGATGGGCTGTCATCATCGCTGCTGTCACCCTCTGATTTCCCATCTCCTTCCTTAGTGTTAGCGCTGCAGGGGAAGAGACGATGAGAGTCTACAGCAGGACTGCAAGACAGGCTACATGATGGTAACTCTGAAAAAGCCTTCCCAAAAATGTTAACATCTTTTAAAGATGGCTTTCACCAGGTTCTTACCTTACATTCAAGTTGTTCCCAGAGTATTGCTCTCCCACAGTGTCCCATTTGGATTCAGTGTTAGCTGAAAGAGGAAGAGGCAGTGTGAGGGTTAGGAGTAGAGATGTGATTGTGGGGTTTACAGTGCTGACAGTACAGTACCTTGTGGGAGAGCTTCAGCATCGTCCACCCTCTCCCATTTAGACAGAGCCACTCTGGAGTGTGCCAGGTCATCCACTGGAAAACACAAACTTACATCAAGTCCACAGCTTATAAAGCTTGTAAGGTTTTTTTATAGAAATTCGGCCAGATTGACCTACAAGGCATTCCGTCGATGTCATCCATGGGAGCGCCCAGGGGAACTCCGTCAATGTCATCAACAGGCATCCCATCCAGGGAGGCAGGGTCCCAGGCCAGGGGCGAGCCATCGAGATCGTCCAGCGGAGCTCCGTCTAACGGTGCCCCGTCCAACGGTGCCCCGTCCAATGGGGCTCCATCCAGGTCTGGAGACACCATCTGAGGTGAGATACCCAGCCCACATAAACCAATTACGCTAAATTCAGCTCTGCTTCTAGCTGCATTGTATATTTACACACACTATCAGAGAATTTAAGGCATCAGTCAAATAGGCATTGATCAAAACTATTTTCCATGTCTTGTCCAGGAAGGGTCCTGTCCTGATAGCCAGCTCACCTCTACCCTCTCGATCACCTCCTCTCCTGCCTTGACCAGACCCAGAAAGATATTCTGCAGCTGGATCAGGTAGGGCTCTGGGTATACGGCCCAGTCTTCCCAGGCCCTGAAACAGCCCATTATCTTTTGCTGAGGAGAGAAGACAAATATAGGTGAGTGTTAATGTATTTGCTCTGGCCAAAGCAACAACAGCTCACAAGCAAGGAAAAAGGTAATAAAGCATTGTCATTTTTTAAACCACACTTATTACCTTGAATTGTTCAGCTTGTAGTCTTGCTTGTATGTTTCGATATGCATCACTAATGTCACCAAATATCTGAGGCAATTTTGCTTCAAAACTGAAGGAACAAAGAAACAGTGAAAAACCTTAGATGGACACAGTATGACCACTGAGCGTGTGTATTATATAATTACAGACTTATCTAAAACAGACTTTTCTTACTATTTGCGATAATAAGATGCATTGGCAACTTTGGCACAGGAGTTGTACAAGATGTCAGATACCAGGTACAGTCTGGCAATCTGTGGGAATAAAGATGGACATGACCAATGTGAGTAATATGTCATGTGAATGTGGTTGATCATGCACATGCGAGACTCATAGGATAGACCCCTGTACAGGAGGTGGGTAAGGAACCTTTTTCTGTAGGGGTGTCTGAAGGAGAGAGAGGGACTCTGCGATGCACCCCACCACCTCCTCCGCTGCTTCTGCTCTCTCCAGACAGAACAGCATAGCATCACCAACGTCCTCCCTACGAGGGGTGAGCCCTCTGAGCAGTGTCTCCAGTCTCTCTCTGTGCCTGGAATAAACACACAGGTTTTGTTGCCCGGAGAAGGTTGAATTTCACCAAAGTCCGTTTTCCCATAACATGTAACATTCATCAGAGAATGCTTTTCAATCTGCCTCAGAACCTCCCTCCCAGCCCCTGTAGGTACAGCTACACTCACTCGGTCTTGAGCTGGCCCTTTTTAAGCTCCTCCTCCTGAGAGGGAGACTCGTCCTCCTCTCCCGCCTCCTCATCTCCATGGAGGTAGGGGTTCAGGAGGGGCGGCCTCCAGATGGAGCCCCCACGGAACATCCGGAAGTCTGCCGTTCTCCACTCACTGGGGGGCTCGCCCTGGGGATGGAGGGAGAGGGACACGGATGAGGCACAGCAGTGAGTAGAGTATGGAGATGGACTCATGGCCATAGGGGTGTAGCCAGGACAGATTAAGAGCATGATCTACCTGGAGAATGGAGTAGAGTTTCCAGCGGTAGTACACCTGCTCTTGGCTTTTGTTGTCAAACAGGAACCTGAAATCATCAACAACAACAAAAAACAGTTTAAAGATGAGTTTAAAAATACATATGACAATTGATATGACAAGAGGGAAAGGGAACGCTCAGCAATGGCACCTTACCTGAAGTCAGGGTTGTTCTTCTCTTTGCTCATAATGATGGCTTCAAACATGGGTCCCTCACGCACCACAAACTCTATCATCCTGTGGATGAGGCCTAACAGATTTCTGTGGAGTAAAAGGAGAGGGGATGAGAGACCAGATGCGGTGACTTGTCCCCCATCATCCAGACCAGTGGCCATGTCAAAGCTCTCACTGCACACTGGCACAAGCCCCTTAACCTCTCTCTCTGTCTCTCTTCTATAACATTGTCCCTCTGCCATCATTTGTCACAGCAATGTTGAGGATATGTTGTGTGTTGTCTGCCCACACACGAGTGAGTGGGGGAGACTGTCTGTTCCTAGTGTGCAGAAGGTGACCATGCCGTGTTTCCTTGTGTCATGTGTGTAGAATATTTTTCTTCTCCCCCAAAATAGTAAGTGTATAAATGAAAAAGTGGGACTATATATATATATATATATATATATGAGTGACAACATTACTTACTACTATTAGCTACTACTGATTTTAATCTAAAATGCATCTGCCTTCTAGCTGTATCGGTCTGCAGTGTCTCAGCCAACCCAGGTAGGAAGAACCACGGTTGCCACTGAAGTTAGTACCAGTATGTTGGATATAGGCCTAACTCACTGACTCCAACACTCACTTAAGTCTAACAATCTATTTTCCCGACAGAGGATTACAATGGTGTCATTTACTAATCTAATGAGGATGACATGAATTAATAAACTGAGGGCTTTGCTTACAAGGCCAAATATTCACTTTAACCATGTTCAACTGAGACCCATGGCCCCCCTACTAGTCATATACAGGGCCCCCAGTCCTAAGCAGCAGGGGTTACCAATTCCTTGAACATAGGCCATGTTGTCAACAAGATGGCTTAATGCAGACCAATGTTAGAACAGGACACAAACTATGAGACACATGTAGGGAGAAAAGCACAAAAACAGTGTTATGTTCTCAGCTGTCCTCTCCCATTAGTCATGTACATACAGACGTAGCACTTAGGACTGGGGCTTCCTGTCGGTCACATACGTACACAGGAACAGTAGACCAGGGCAGGGCCTCTGTCCTCTAACACTGTGTTCTGTCTGTGAGAACGGCTGGTCAGTCGTAGTAGCAGTAGTAGTAAGAATGGATAGAGAGTGTGTACCTTTCTGTTGGGATAACCACTTTGACTACGGCTTCGGACAGAGTCTGTTCGTGAAGTCAAATCAAATAGTGAAGATATAAAAAAAGTGAGTATATATACAGATGAAACACTGCAGGATACATACAGCATAGAAAACGACGATAGCAGTAACAGCTATACATTATTTGAATGAGGGAAAAAGGTCCCACATTCGAGAGACGGCTACACTATTGTTAAAGTAAATGATCTATACTATACCCCCACCCTCTTAATTTTACAGTAACATTTTGATTGCATATGGTTCTGTAACAATACCTCATAACTCCATCTGGGTCAAACCCCCTGCCTTAGGACATATCCTAAAACTAAGACACTACTAGTCTAAGGAATAGATTCATAACATGTCTATACATGCACCACAGGACAAACCAACTAGAATTTAAACTGAGAAATGGAACTCGGAACTGCTACTTCAGAATATGACCGTCACATGGTCTTGTTTGTGCATTTAAATGCAGTTCTGAATTCTAGATCAAATTTTAAGCAATGTCCAATTGATTGATCCTATGATAAATATCACCCTGCATAGGATATCTACTACAAACATACCTAAAATTGGCAAATTAACTGTAGTGTAAAACAAAGTCAAAAAATATAACCTTGAAAAAGAACCATGCATACACCCTACAGTGTTCAAAAAGGAGCCAACCTACCTTGTCAAACTCCTCCTTGGACCTGCCCCATGGCTTGGTAAAGTCATTGCGGAAGCGGTCTCGGGGCTGAGCATTGAAGGGCAGGCCAGAGGGGGGTGGGGGGGTGGAGATTTTCAGTACCCCTATGGGTGTATAGAGAGGCTGGGGAGGGATGCGAACAGCTTTCCCCCATCCCAGCTTCATTTCAAAACCCATAACCATTTTACCTGCAGAAAAAGAAGTAATGATCCTACATGAGCCAAGGACATAGTCAACGGAACACTTGACAGGGCATTTATCATCTGGCAGTGTTTCCTGTATAGTATGTTTAATATTCTCTTATCACAGACTCACCGTCTAGAGCAGCCAAGGCCCTCTCTGCATCTTTCCTGGTCATAAAGGCCACAAAGCCTCTGTTTGTGACCCTGGTACGTTCCTCATCACTACGGGGCCACATGATCTTCACGCTTGCCAGGGGACCATACTTGCCAAACTCTTTGCAAAGCATTTCTTCATTCATCTGTCACATTATATAAAGTATCATTTCAACACAGTTTCACAAGAATGCAGTCAGCATTTAAGTAAGTTGAATTTATCCCAAACAAAAGAAGAGCAAGAGACTGAATCTTTATCTCCTTTGTCAAAACATCATAAGCAGATAAAGTTCCTTTACCTTTGGGTTAATGCAGCCAATATACAGGTTGGTTGTGTTCGGTGTTGCTGGGTCATCATCAAATACTGAAAGAAGACATGTATATTCCGCTAAACATGTAAAAGCTACTGAGGGTTCATCTTTGATTTGGACTAAGGCCATTATTTTTCCACTGCATGGGACAGATCTGGCACTTACTTGATCGTCGTGTTAATGGTATGTCCAAGTCTCCATATCCTCCTCCAGGCTCATTTTTCTTATTTTTGTACCTTTCTTCACGTTCCTCCTGTATTCTATGAGAACAGAGTCATTTCATACAAAAAATGTAAACAACAAATTGGTAAAATAAATAGTGAAACAACATCATTTACTACAGCATGTCAAAAACATACTGCTTTAGCTCCTCTTTAAAAAGTTCAAGGTTGCTCTTCTTCTTCTCCTCCGTCTTCTTTTTAACAATCTGTGGACCAGACAAACATAAGGGGACAAAATAATGTATAGTATTATCTTGTATACAGTAGTAGATTCACATGGACACTCACAGGCCTTCTGATTTCAGAAGAGTGTGCTGGTGAGACATTCTGGGACACTGAAGTAAACTTGGTGTTCGGTCGGTAAAGCTTGCTCTTTTTGACTTCTGCTGCTTCCTCTTCTGCAAAATAATTCAATAGAAAGTGTAACCATGTAGCACTAAAATAAGTGTTCACAACATAGACCCCACCAGAGCTGGATTAGCCAGCATGTTTCTGCTCACCTTTAGTTGCATTCACGATCCCCCCACGAACAAACGTTTTCACCCCACTTTTGTCGTTACTGTCAAAAGATGCTAAGAACTCTTCAAAAACTTCAGCTGCTTTTTCTTCTTCCTGGAAATGTGATATTGTTTTAAAATTGTAAGAATAGACCTACACTTTGTTGCAGATATCTATAAATGGGTCAAATCTCTTACCTTTTTCTTCAGATCTTCTTGTTCTCTCTTGGTCAATGTTCTCTTAACACCTACTGGTTTCACTTTCTTGACATTTTTGTCTGCCATGCTGATACTGCAAATAAACGGAAATACTGTCAGTGTCATGTTGAGAAAATGTAGATACATCCGACTCACTCACACACACCTGTATTTTTTGTTGTTGCGAGGTACAGTTCTTCTGAAACTGTGGGTACCCATTTGCAAAAGCTCGCAGTATGCAACTTCATGCACACTTATTACAACTGCAGATGCATGGATCTTAGTAAATAGTTAGCAAAGATCTGTAACGTTAGCTAGCCAGGTAAATAACTTAGTTGTCTAGTTAGCAGTAGCGAGCTTGATGTGGCCATCCGCCTAACATTGTAAAGCTGGCTAGCTACACGTCATCATATTTGTTGACTGTAACTTACCTGCACATTTCTGTCGCCAGATACGAACCCTTGTTAATTAATATCTAGCCAGCTATCATTTGCCCCTTACTCTAGTTAGCTAGCTAACTCCGTTGATACGAGCCCTGACAACCTCCTCCCTCCCTCCACTACAATCACTGTGGCTAGCTAGCTAGCTAGGCCAGATTTCGCATGCATGTCGTGTGATCTGGCGCAAAGCTTTGCTACGGCGATAATTTTTTATTTACTGCAATAATTTTTTTATATAAAATAAATGCTTGTTTTGAATTATCTACATCGCAATAAGTATGGATCATTGACACTAAATGTTACACATTTCTTACCGTAGAAATGTACAATGCGTTTGTTATTGCTCCACCATTTTGAATAGACAAAAATGGACATAGCGGAAAAGTGATGTCACTTCTCATTCTGACCAATAAAATGGTCGTCACTAGTTAACACATCCACAAAGTCCTAAACTCCGCCTATTTCTACAATTGATCTAATCTAAACCTTAACCCTAACCACACTGCTAACTTTATGGCTAACCTTAAAATAAGACCAAAAAGCACATTTTGTGTTTTCATGCATTTTTTACTATATAGCCTGTGCTACTTTGTGGCTGTGATATCTAGTGGACCCCCCCACACACCTCCACTTCAGTTTGTCGTCGCTTTCAGTAGGCTATAATAAAATCATCAAATCATAACAAACATAGAATGTGATTTAGCTATGTATTCTATTTCAGTTAATCAAATCTATTGTAACAAAAAAATGTGGCTATGTGATCTTTACTCAATACATCTGTAAGTCCAAGTAGGCTACATGTATAGAAAATGTATTGATGACCAAATAAATGAAACATTTAATTATATTACGTTTTTAAATAAGTAGCTATATTTCGTAGTTAATTTACAACTCATGTGAGCAACTGAATGACAGTAAGTAAACAAGCAAATCGAAGGACACAAGTTGCTCACGACTTCATTCAACTGTAATAGTCTCATTTAAATTAATGTTTGACATTTTATCAGTACATTTCCAGAGGCGCTGCTGTAAACATAATGTAATATGGCCTCCATATACATGCCAACCCCATAGGAAAGTGCTATAAATACTTTGGGTAACAGGCTGAGGTCACTGTCCTAACCTCACATGGTATTTCCCAAAATAAATGTGTGTCTACTGTCTATTTGAAGAGTATATAAATCTGTGTAGCCTGTCACTTCAGCGCTTCTTTATCACTTGTGATTTTGAGTTCTGTATTAATTGAATGTCTAGCCTTTTCCCGAGGTCAAAACAGTTTGTAAACAAGAAAACAAGAAAAGTAATTAAAATGTGTGCCATACATACTAAAATAAACATCAATATAAAGTGTCTTCAAAACGTGAGCATATTGGAAGGGTTAAGAGGGTGATTAATAAGATGCTTTTGATATAGGTTACAGACAGCACAGATCCTCAACAATGATCACTGTAGTATGACAGTCCGGCCTCTGCCTCTTCCCCTGCCACTGCCTCTCTGTGGACCCTGTCCTGGGCCTGCCCAGATTCTCATACCAGTGAAGCGGTCATTGAGGGTCACTCCCGTCTGAAAACCAGGAAACAGTCACGGTGACATCATTATTTATAAAGAGAAGGTAGCTGGTGGAACGACCATAGAATTAGGAATTAGAATCAGAATTTCACAGGATCTCTATGCTAAAGACATCGAAACGTTCTAAACACTGGTAATGGCATATCACCTGATTTATAGTGGCCTTGAAGTTAAATCTGAGAGGGATGCCTTTGGGCTGGGGGGACGTCCCACCCCCTGTCCCTGATGGACTGGATCGGTCCATCACTGTGGCCTGCTTTGCCTTGGCCCTGAGAGAGATCAGGTAAAGACACAGGACAGATAAGGATGAGCTTTTGTAGCCTATCTGAATGCACATAATTAGAAATAAAACTTTTATTTTGTACAGAACCCACAAAAGCCTTTCAGTAAAACAGGGCTGCAGTGTGTACTACTGTATGTGCAACTCACGCCTGCTCCGAGTTGGCTTTGGAGTTGGGAAGTGACACCGTCAAGGTAGAAACACCGGAGGGCGCCTTTTTCCAGCTATATCAGGTCATGTTAGAGCATATAATGATGAGCAATACTACCAATATAATTTTGTTTATTTGTCACAAGCAACCACAGTAATCTTATCTCACCTTCTAACCTTTTGGTACTTATCAATTTTTCTATTTGCTGCAGGAAACTAGAAGGAGGGGAAAGATGAAAAATGTACATGTAAGGGTTTATTTTCTTATCATGCTGTGTATTCGTTCAGATTAATTAGTAGGTATTAGACACTGTACTAAGATCATCTATTGCAAACCATTAAAAAAACAGTATTCATTGAACAGTACTCAGTAATATGCCTTGTTTTACTCATGCTGAACATGACCTCTGTTTGCATGGCTCTTACTATAAGTGCAGTGATACATTCATTCCTCTGAACAGCATTGCATGGCCTACTATAGGTTGTGTATAAGTGTTATAAATGTGAAAATAACAAAATACCCCTCTGTTTAGGACAAATGGCTTTGCACTGCCCTGTCTCTGTTTGGGCTGGAATGGTGGCTTCTTCTGCCCTCTGAATTGGGGTGGAGGCGTAACACGGTGACACAAGAATCATACCCATAAAGAGACTGTACAAATCAAATGAAAAAGACAAACAATATCCCTAGCGAAATCCCTAAGAATAAAAGTACATGGAATTACGAACAAATGGAATCAATGTGTTTCACACATTACATTTTAGTCGTTTAGCAGACGCTCTTATCCAGAGCGACTTACAGTTAGTGAGTGCATACATTCTTTTTTATTTATTTTTCATACTGGCCCCCGTGGGAATCGAACCCACAACCCTGGTGTTGCAAACGCCATGCTCTACCAACTGAGCTACATCCCTGCCGGCCATTCCCTCCCCTGCCTTGGACGACGCTGGGCCAATTGTGCGCCGCCCCATGGATCTCCCGGTCGCGGCCGGCTACGACAGAGCCTGGATTCGAACCAGGATCTCTAGTGGCACAGCTAGCACTGCGATGCAATGCCTTAGACCACTGCGCCACACACATAAACCTATCTATCAAAATCATATGTCATAACTCAGTAAATTGCTAATATAATTTTACATATTGGAAGAACAGTAGTCTAGGCATACATACATTTACATAAGACTAGAGTAGGTTCCCAAAGCTCAAGTCCTCTGACCCTGAAGCTACTAATTTGAATGTTTCTTAACTGCATAACGGATGAACACATTTTGTGTTTACAGAAACATAATATAATGACATACATTCACATCATGTATATATTATACACACATAAAACCCATGCATACATAAAACCCATGCACTCAGAGAGAAGGAAAGCCATGTCAGAGTCTATGAGAATCTTATGCATTATAAAAGTGCTGTGATATAATGCTGTGCATGCTGTACCTTCTCAAAGCTCCTGGAGGACCTCTGTATGGTTGATAAAATGCACACTTGAACAACGGTTTATGTTTTCCAAACTGTGCTCCTTCCTTATGGTAATAAAACAATTAATTACCTTTTGTCATATCTGACCAATAACTTGGACTAAACATTATGTGTACTTACTACATTGTATCATATTCACATATTGGAAAAGTACAATTGTCAGTCATTTGCTGTGCACATACCTTTGTGTTAAAAGGAGGTCTTTTTAAAGGGCTCACACCTTTGAGGTGATGTGTTCCAAAGGGAGTCTTTCTGAGATATGGTTTTACCCAGTAGTAGCCAGGAATGTGGGGTCCCATGTACCGCGATTTGTAGGGTCCTAAAAAAAGAATTATAGCATAATCAGCTCCTTTCTCAAAGAGTGTGATGATATGGTAATGATGAATGTCTTCATATGGAGGGATATGCAAGCGATGAGTGACCAATACAGTAGATCTACCTTGCTGGAATTGATAAGGGCCTCGTCTGAAAGGAAATGTCTGCTGTTGTCCTGCCCTGTCCAGTTTCTTGAGGACAGTGTTTTTGTTTGTGGTACGTCGGTCCCGGGCCTTGTTGGCAGCCTTATTTGCCTTGTTCTTCTTTTTGTTCAGTTTGATGATGTCATCTGGGAACAGGAAAGTAAAGCTGTGTTTTGGATGAGGGTAGTCATTGACAATTGAAGCATGCACTCCAAGCTGAAATCACTCACTTTCTCTTGTCATTTGAGAAGCTGAATCCATTACGTGTAAGGGGAGCTAATGTGGTTCAAAATTACAGTGGCATTATGTCTGCGATGTTCAATACAATATAACAATAATGGATGAGCTCCCCTGAGATCTCACCAGGATGGGGTTTTAATAGCAGGCCTACATCTCCATTAAAGCACCACAGTTTAAAGTGGCATATTACATAAAGACTAAAGGAGAAAAAGAAATCAGTTTGTTGATGTGTAGGCTATGTAGGTTGTGGTGTAGGGCCATATCAGACCAAGATGCCTACTTATGAGTCAAATTAAAATATTGTTATTGTTCAATAAGATTTAATAATAAAGCAATTCTTGTTGCACTATGTAATATATTAAGACATGACCTTGACTATGCTTTGTTTAATGGAACAAAATTTGATTGGTTAACATGCATATTGCAAAGAATCATGAGGAAATGTCCAACCTAGTGACAAGTCAATCTTCTCTGATGTGCGGGGCTGTTGCGCCTCTTGCGGTTCTGACTCCTCCATAGCAGTGGGTTCAGGTTTGGCGGTGGCTGCATCTGCAGTGGTTGTGATGTCCATTATTCCTGTGTCGCACGCAGGGGCAAACCTTTGACGCACTGTATGGACTTCTCACTTATTATGGTCTCAAATGTACCCTACGTTTTCCTCCACAAGTAAAGTAATGATAATTCACTGGTAATTATGCCTAAGACTTAAAATTAAAATTAAAAAAGATTGTAGACTATATTTTACTCAAACTTCTCTCATACATTGAGGCCCTCTTGCTCCTAGGCAGCTGGTAAAGTTTGTCTGTTGCGCTGATAATGTCCAGAGAAGAGGCAACCCAACCCTGTAATGAATTCAACCAACTGCATGACAGAGCCTAAAATAGCTCATGTTCTAACAGTAGCATTAGGCCTCTCGGCAAGAAAAACATTTGGTAGACCTATTACAAAGTAGGCCTAGACCCTGTGCGCAACAGAAGTCTTTCTGGAGGTTCATTATGTTTCATTAGACATCACACAGTGTGATTATTAATGATAGTAAAAATACTCTCACAATCAGCAACATTATCTTACAAAACATTTACGTAGGCCTGTCATCTTCACATTTTTGGAGACGAAGGGTTAATCAAACCACACAATTTAGTTTTGGTGGGAAATACATAGTTGTGATTAGTTCCAGGTGCAAAATGTTAATATGCCTAATCATACAGGTCTGTATTGGGACCTGTTTATAACTCCAATAGTTTATAGACAGGTAATAGCACATATGTGATTATGTTCCCTGCTCCCTGATAAGAAAAGGTGTGTACCTCTATTCCAAAACATCCCATAGGCCACCAAGGTAAAATTAGTTTTATATCGGATATTCGGTGGCTATACCATTCTCTCATTAATAGCTATTGAACCAAGCATTCCATGACTATGAAGATGGCATATTCTGTATCAGGGGTGGATGGAGAAGAATCCACACTTTTTTATTAAATTTTTATAATACGATTTTGGATTTCAATCTTCAATAGCTCTTACACAAAGTGTGCCATGACTATGATAATGATATATTCTGAATCAGGGGAGGATTGACAAAAATCCACAGCTTTTTTATTTTGGAAATGTCTTCGTTTTTTTTTTTTTTTTTTTTGGGGGGGGGTCAATCTTCAATAGCTCTTAGACAGCGATGCGTACATAGATATCCCTCGCCCTCCATTTGGCAAATCTGACCATAACTCTATCCTCCTGATTCCTGCTTATAAGCAAAAACTAAAGCAGGAAGCACCAGTGCCTCGGTTAATAAGGAAGTGGTCAGATGACGCAGATGCTAAACTACAGGACTGTTTTGCTAGCACAGACTGGAATATGTTCCGGGATTCTTCCGATAGCATTGAGGAGTACACCACATCAGTCACTGGCTTCATCAATAAGTGCATCGATGACGTCGTCCCCACAGTGACTGTACGTACATACCCCAACCAGAAGCCATGGATTACAGGCAACAGCCGCACTGAGCTAAAGGGTAGAGCTGCTGCTTTCAAGGAGCGGGACTCTAAGCCGGACGCTTATAAGAAATCCCGCTATGCCCTCCGACAACCATTAAACAGGCAAAGAGTCAATACAGGACTAAGATTGAATCGTACTACACCGGCTCTGACGCTAGTCTGATGTGGCAGGGCTTGAAAACTATTACAGACTACAAAGGGAAGCACAGCCGCGAGCTGCCCAGTGACACAAGCCTACCAGACGAGCTAAATCACTTCTATGCTCGCTTCGAGGCAAGCAACACTGAAGCAGGCATGAGAGCATCAGCTGTTCCGGATGACTATATGATCACGCTCTCCGTAGCCGATGTGAGTAATACTTTTAAGCAGGTCAACATTCACAAGGCATTTTGGAGCAGATAGAGGATCAGCTTTGCTTTTACTATATTGTATTGACTATGGAGACCCACTCAGTGATCCTCAATCTGCCCTCCTCAGGCTTTGAGAATGCACGCCTACATCGTCCATAACCTTTATGTGTAAGTGCATCCGGTCAGCTGTTTGTTGGTTCTGCCTGTAGGTTCGAAGCCTGGCTGACGCGACCCACGTGACCACACAGCGAGGAAGAGCTGCGACTCACTGGCCTGGACAGGAGGTTGTTTGTTAATACAATATTTGCTCAGAAATTGTGCGGACTCATTGATTGGTTCTCTCAAAAGGTATTTTTTTCTTGGGGGCTGTGTGTGGCTCTGCCTGTGGATGTTTGAGTGATAAAGACAGAGGAGAACCAACCAAGCCCCCTTTATTATCAACGCATCACAACTAGCTAGCTGCAACCGAATGGATGTTGTTGTTGGCTAATCACCACTAATCACCACTTGTCCCAAAGCTAGCACCAGTTAGCCTTGAGCTAGCCTTGAGCCAGGCCCATCTCCCGGCTATCCACCTCTCTGTCAACCGGACGGGACCTCCTAGTGTCGACACGGGAGCCCCGCCGATCCATCACGACTGGTCTGCAGACGTAATCGTCTGATGTGGTTTCAACAGGCTTCCCGTTGCAACGACCACGAATATCCATCTGCTAGCACCAGCCCGCTAGCACGCGCAATCAACAGCTGTGCCTCCTGCCTCCTGCTCGCCTGTGCTGTAGCAGCCTACGAACTGCTCCCGGACTTACCTATTGCTGTTCACTGGACCTTATGATCACTCAGCTACACATCTGATGCCCGCTGGACTGTTCCTTTACACGGTACCCCATCCTGTTTATCTGTTTAGCCTAAGCCCAAACTTTTGTCGCCATTACCAGTTGTTGTCTTAGACCTCTCGAATAACACCTGTGATTGCGTTATGCCTCTCTCCCATGTCAATATGCCTAGCCTATTGCTGTTTGGGTTAGTTGTTATTGTACTATTTCACTGTACAGCCCCCAGTCCCGCTCAACCTGCCTCAGATAGCTTCTTTGTCCCACCCCCCATACATGCGGAGACCGGCTCAATCGGTACCTCCAGTGATGCTATCTCTTTCATCGTTACCCAATGCTTAGGTGTACCTCTACTGTACTCATATCCTTCCATATCCTTGTCTGTACATAATGCCCTGAATCTATTCTACAACGCCTGGAAATCTGCCCTGTTTATTCTCTGTACCCAACGCACTAGAAGACCAGTTCTTAAAGCCTTTAGCCATATACTTATTATATTCCTCCTCTGTTCCTCTGGTGATGTAGAGGTTAACCCAGGCCCTGTAGCCCCCAGTATCACTCCTACTCCCCAGGCGCTATCATTTGTTGACTTCTGTAACCGTAAAAGCCTTGGTTTCTTGCATGTTAACATCAGAAGCCACCTCCCCAAGTTTGAGTTATTCACTGCGTTAGCACACTCTGCCAACCCTGATGTTCTAGCAGTGTCTGAATCCTGGCTTAGGAAGGCCACCAAAAATTCAGAAATGTCCATCCCGAACTACAACATTTTCCGTCTAGATAGAACTGCCAAAGGGGGCGGAGTTGCAATATACTGTAGAGATAGCCTGCAGAGATCTATCATACTATCCAGGTCTATGGCCAAACAGTTTGAGCTTCTACTTCTAAAAATCCACCTTTCCAGAAATAAGTCTCTCACTGTTGCCGCTTGCTACAGACCCCCCTCAGCCCCCAGTTGTTTCCTGGACACCATATGTGAATTGCTTGCCCCCCATCTATGAGTTCGTACTGCTTGGTGACCTAAACTGGGATATGCTTAACACCCCGGCCGTCCTACAATCTAAACTAGATGCCCTCAATCTCACACAAATTATCAAGGAACCTACCAGGTACAACCCTAAATCCGTAAACATGGGCACCCTCATAGATATCATCCTGACTAATTTACCCTCTAAATACACCTCCACTGTCTTCAACCATGATCTCAGCGATCACTGCCTCATTGCCTGCGTCCGTAATGGGTCCGCGGTCAAACGACCACCCCTCATCACTGTCAAACGCTCCCTAAAACACTTCAGCGAGCAGGCCTTTCTAATTGACCTGGCCCGGGTATCCTGGATGGATATTGACCTCATTCCGTCAGTAGAGGATGCCTGGATACCCCGGCCACCAGCTCTGCACCGTCCGCTGCAACTTGCCCATGCCCCCCCCCCCCGCTTCTCCTTCACCCAAATTCAGATAGCTGATGTCCTGAAAGAGCTGCAAAATCTGGACCCCTACAAATCAGCTGGGCTAGACAATCTGGACCCTTTCTTTCTAAAATTAGCCACCGAAATTGTCGCAACTCCTATTACTAGCCTGTTCAACCTCTCTTTCGTATCGTCTGAGATCCCCAGAGATTGGAAAGCTGCCACGGTCATCCCCCTCTTCAAAGGGGGTGACACTCTAGATCCAAACTGTTACAGACCTATATCCATCCTACCCTGCCTTTCGAAAGTATTTGAAGGCCAAGTTAACAAACAGATCACCGACCACTTCGAATCCCACCGTACCTTCTCCGCTATGCAATCTGGTTTCCGAGCTGGTCATGGGTGCACCTCAGCCACGCTCAAGGTCCTAAATGATATAATAACCGCAATTGATAAAAGACAGTACTGTGCAGCCGTCTTCATCGACCTGGCCAAGGCTTTTGACTCTGTCAATCACCGCATTCTTATTGGCAGACTAAATAGCCTTGGTTTCTCAACTACTTTTCAGATAGAGTTCAACGTGTCAAATTGGAGGGCCTGTTGTCTGGACCTCTGGCAGTCTCTATGGGGGTGCCACAGGGTTCAATTCTCGGGCCGACTCTATTCTCTGTGTATATCAATGATGTCGCTCTTGCTGCTGGTGACTCTCAGATCCACCTCTACGCAGATGACACCATTTTGTATACATCTGGCCCTTCATTGGACACTGTGTTAACAAACCTCCAAACAAGCTTCAATGCCATTCAACACTCCTTCTGTGGCCTCCAGCTGCTTTTAAACACTAGTAAAACTAAATGCATGCTCTTCAATCGAACGCTGCTTGCACCCGCCCGCCCGACTAGAATCACTACTCTCGGCGGGTCTGACTTAGAATATGTGGACAACTACAAATACCTAGGTGTCTGGTTAGACCGTAAACTCTCCTTCCAGACTC